TTATTTCTTTTTTTTTCTATTTTTTTTTTTTTAAACCGGTTTTCACAGCAGCTTCCCGGGTGTGCGGCTGCAGTTGGCACATTTCACGCGTTGGGGAAAAAAAAAATAATAAAATTAACTGTTTTTCCTTTGTATCTTAATCCAGTGATGAGAGCTCTCCTTTGTTGGCTTTCGAGCTTGCATTTGTTTTATTTATTATAAGGAAATCCAGTTTGGTTCAAATATATAATCCATTTGAGCACTTAAATCCCCAAACAGCTGGCATTATTTTGTTTTATAATCTTTGGCTTTTCTGCACGGAGCATATTTCTAAATTCCTGCTTGACATTTATGGGGAAAAAACTTTTTAATGTAAATGGATATTGTGATTTTTTTTTTCCTGGGTCTTTCTTAATTTACATGCATCATCAATTTTCCTGAGTTTCCTATTGTTTTAATTTTTTTTTTTTCCCAGAGCTTGTTAATTAATTTTTTTTTTTTTTTTTCCCTCAGAAAACTTAGTTTCTGGAGGGAGAAAAATGTTAATTTGCCCCATTATTTTTATCTTTGGCATTTGGAAATGGTTGAGAGACCACAAATATGCAACCTGTTGTAGAAACGAGAGTGGTGTATTTTATTTATTTTAATCGATAGCAGAGAGGTGATTTAGTAATAGGAACTTTGAGCAACATTTTAGTGGAAGATTTGCAGATCTGGTGGCTGCATATGGGGTGTGCATGTGCTTGCATATGTGTGTGTTTCTTTGCAGGCTGATTAGCAAGTGGGTTTTGTGCTTCTAACCAGTGGTCAATGCAGTTTTCTCCACTTGCTGGGTGTTTGTGATGCCTGCTAAATCCAGCTCTGTCATGGCTTCTCTTACTTTTATCAGACTTCCCTCTTAACTAATTCAGCACAGTGCTACAACCTTCCTAAGCAGAGGAACCAAAACCGAGCCAGAGATAACTGATTGCAACTTGTTCCTTGGTGAGAGATTTTTTTTTTTTTTATGGTTCAGGGCTAAAGGCTGTTGATTCAATTTGTCTTGGTTGAGGCATGTGTAGCCTTGTTCTTAGTAACATACACAATTACACAGGTAATTTGTGTACACCTGAAACAGGGTAGCTCTAAAACCCAATAACTGTGCATATAGATAGCCATGAAAAAAAAAGAAATAAATAAAAAATTAGACTTTGTTTTCAGTCTATTCATCTAACCTTCATACTTGGGAGACAGTTTATGTAGCTTCATAGATTGATCTCCACCCCCCCTCCCTCTACTCCTTGTTTAGTTAATTCAACAAAGACTTTTTGCAATCTGTTTGGAGTTTGTCTGATGCCGTGGAAAAGTAGCTGCTGATTTATTTGGTTGCTTTTCGATTTCTGTCCCTAGCCCGTCTTTTCTCCTCCTTTCAGCGGGGATGTCAGCTGTTATTACTTCCTATTGATCCCTTTGCAAAGTGAGAAGTGAACTAAAATTAATGTCAATTCCACTGCTCGGATCAATAGCTGGAGTTATTTTAATCTGGATTTGCGCGAGGTGCTAAATTAAAAAAAATCAGCATAGAGGCAGAAAAGTAGCAGTTCCTCAGTCCGCCCATGCCCACTGCCTTCCCGGCACCCAAATGTTCCCTCCAGCTGATTACCCTGCAATCCATATTTTTTTAATTAAGAAGGTCTGTTAGTTTTCTTATTTTTGGGTTCTGTATTTAAACCTATGACATTTTGACATTGGGAGTGTATTAACGATAGATTTTCATAATGACTGGTCTGCCGCAGTCTAATCTGCCCGTGTTGCTGGGGGTGGGGAGGTCCTGGGCGAGGAGGCAGCAGGAGAGAACGAAAAAGGAAGTGGGAGCTGAAGAAAAAAAATATATGTATTTGGCTGGCTGAGATATTGTAATGTGTTGATTTATTCCCAGTGTAATGAAGTTTGCAAACGAATAAACGGCCATAGTGATTCACAGTATCTTACAGGAGTGTCAAGTGTTGCGGCCAATTACTAATTTATGAAATACATTTAACGTAATGGGGTGATGGCGCAAGTAAAAATAGAAAAGGAGGCAGAGGTGGATGCTTTCTTTTCCTCCTGGAAATCCATGTTTTCCCATGATTGCTCAGTTTCACTTCCATGTTAATGGTTGTTTATTTCCGAGAAGGGAGGCTCGTTTGCATGCATCTCTCTAGGTGCATATATATATATATGTTTACGTGGTTGCATAAACCCCCAGCAACTCCAAATTTGCCAGTGGCTGCAGTTTCCTGACCTCCAGTTTTTGATTAGCCTCGCATGAAGCAGTGAAGCCAGTGTACCCAGGACTGCAGCTCTGACCAGGATGCCCTTGGCATCCCTCAGTCTCCCTCTCCCCCTCACTCTCCTTGGTGAGAACTCGACAGGAAAGTTATTTGAAATTTGGAAGAGAGCAAATCCGTTAATGCGAGATACATAATCTGGTAATTTAGCAATGATGTCTGTGAGGATGGGTGCCAAATGAAGAAGCAGAGAGATGATGTCCACTCATCTTCACAATTAATAACAGTCAGTGGAGCGGCTGGGTACAGGATGGGAGAGAGGAAATGTTATCCCTGAACTGAATTAAAGCCACAGACTGGATTTCATACACTTTGTTAACCTAGGCTCCCTCATTCATGGAGTACAAAAGGCACTCCATTAGGGAGACACTCTT